AGTTGAACGCCGGAAATTCTCTGAAAATAAACATGGCCAAGGCTCAGCTAACCCCTCCCTTCCCCTCCTCCCACCCTCCTTCTCCTTCCCCCCCACCCCCTTCCGTCCGTATCCCTCACCCCTCACCCCCTTTACCTCTCCCTCTCCTCGACTACTGAGAGCAACACTTGACGTCACAAGAGTGTAAATATTTTGGCGGTAACAGAAGCTTTGAATACCGCGGCAGTGAGAAGACCTGACCTTAGTTTAAGTCTATTGCTGGCTGTGTTTATCTTGTGTTGTGGTGGTGAGGTGGTGGTTGAGGTAGTGGTGGTGGTTGTTGTTGAGGTAGTGGTGGTGGTTGCTGTTGTAGTGGTTGACGTGGTTGTTGTTGTTGTGGATGTTGTGGTTGTTGTTGTGCTTAAATGATCTTGATTTGTCATTATCATCATCATTATTATTATTGTTATTATTATTGTTTATTATTATTAACACCATTATTATCATTATTATTGTCACAAGTTGGTCAGTATACAGCAGTTCAGTCACCTTGCTCAACCTTTACAAAACCCACGTCTTTAAGGGCACGCCGGGCACTGATTGGCTCTCGACCAACATACCGACAGGGAGATACATCTACCATTGTGTTCTAAACCTAACCTAACCAAAACCTAACCTAACCTACCACTAGAGCACTGTTATATCTCTACTGAATGTGTCAATGTCTGTCTTGCTATTCACCCTTTATATCTATGTGTTTACAGGTAATAGCATTGTGTACAGTCCTCACCGATTACGGGTATACCTTTATTGAATGTTTATAGATTAAATAATTATTAAATACAAACTATACAAATATATTAACATAGAATGATAAAAAGAAACCCATTTTAATTATAATCACAGAAAATGTTAATATGTTGACGTTAATGGGGTACTGTGTTATCTGGGTATACCATTATTGGCTCTCAGTAAGATAAAACATTCGCATTTATTTCTCACCTCATTAAAACGACCCCATGCTAACCTAACCTAACCTAACCCAACCTAACCTAACCCAACTCCATGCTAACGTAATTGCGCGTAACTTAACCTAACCCAACCCCATGCTAACGTAATTGCGCGTAACCTAACCTAACCAAACCACTCTTAACCTAACCTAACCAGATAGCGTTCAGGTGTTTAAATTAATCCCCAGGTGAAATAAGCCGCTGGAGTGAGTAATAGTCAAGAAAAAAAAAAGATCATTATATTTCACACACAATTAAACAAGAACTAAATAACAGTTGCCAAGAACAAACACATTTACAGCTGGGTGGACTAAGGAACGAATCAGCGACGCTTATCTAGTTAATAATTAATTCTCAGGTTGTAATTTGTAGATATTTAACTTCAGAGAAATAATTATCGTAGATCACCTGAACATTAGTCACCCCCATAACTTATTTTACCTGATGATTAAACACCTGACCTGACCTAACCTAACCTAACCTGACCTAACCTAACCTGACCTGACCTAACCTAACCCCATAACTTATTTCACCTGATAATTAAACACCTTATATACCTGGGAGGGTTAGGTTAGGTTAGTATAAGGGTGTTTAATTATCAAGTGAAATACGATGGGGTTAGGTTAGGTTACTATAAGGGTGTTCAATTATCAAGTGAAATAAGATGGGGTCAGGTCAGGTCAGGTTAGGTTAGGTTACTATAAGGGTGTTTAATTATCAAGTGAAATACGATGGGGTTAGGTTAGGTTACTATAAGGGTGTTCAATTATCAAGTGAAATAAGATGGGGTCAGGTCAGGTCAGGTCAGGTTAGGTTAGGTTACTATAAGGGTGTTTAATTATCAAGTGAAATACGATGGGGTTAGGTTAGGTTACTATAAGGGTGTTTAATTATCAAGTGAAATAAGATGGGGTCAGGTCAGGTCAGGTCAGGTTACTATAAGGGTGTTCAATTATCAAGTGAAATAAGATGGGGTCAGGTCTGGTCAGGTCAGGTTACTATAAGGGTGTTTAATTATCAAGTAACATAAGCGGGCGTTCCTTCAGGAGACCAGCTCTGAGCATCAGTACCCCGGCAGCAGCTCCCAACCTTCAGTATCCTGCAGGTGAAAATTTCCCTCTGTTGTCACCTTCAGTTCTTGGCACCAAAACTGACCATAAACAACGCCAACATGAGCCATCACTAGCGCCAACACGAGCCATCACTAACGCCAACCCACTTCACAATGACACTCTTTACGGACACTATATCAAACGACCTCTCGCCAGCCTTCTGCGGTACGAGGAGGATCACGTGTTTGTCATTATAATCACCAACATAAATATACAACTCGTTTAATAACTTGACGACAATGATGAAGGCTGGTGTGTGTGTGTGTGTGTGTGTGTGTGTGTGTGTGTGTGTGTGTGTGTGTGTGTGTGTGTGTGTGTGTGTGTGTGTGTGTGTGTGTGTGTGTGTGAGGGTGTGTGTGTGTGTGTGTGTGTGAGGGTGTGTGTGTAGGGGGGTTCACAGTGTGGGAAATACACTAATACTTACGCCAGGGGAGGCAGACCCAGTACCTTGCCCCTGTGACCCGCCCCTCCGCCATCTTCCCAAGGGGCAGTCACCTCGATCTTGACCTGAGGTGTGGGCGTGACCGGCGGGTCGTCCGAGGAACGGCGTGAGGCGGGTGTGGAGGGGCGCGAGACCCCGGGGGGCGTGGCGGTGTTGGCTGCAGTGGGGGAAGTGTGGGGTGAGGTGTGAGGGGAGGTGAGTGGTGAGGTGTAGGGTGAGAGGTAAGTCTCACACCCTAGGCTCATAGGCTCGTGGCTCACCCCAGCACGAGCCTCCCACGACTCACACCCTCGCTCAAACGACCCTGAGCCACTCTGCTCGTGTGACCCGCCAGGGCTGTGATGCTGCTGCTGGTGCTGTTGCTGCTGCTGCTGCTGCTGCTGCTGTTGCTGTTGTTGTTGTTGTTGTTGTTGTTGTTGTTGTTGTTGTTGTTGTTGCTGCTGCTGCTGCTGGTGATGCTGCTGCTGCAAGTGATGCTGCTGTTGTTGTTGCTGGATTTGCTGTTGCTGGATTTGTTGCTGTTGATGCTGCTGCTGCATCTGTAGCTGTTGTTGTTGTTGTTGTTGTTGTTGTAGCTGTTGTTGTTGCTGCTGCAGTTGCTGCTGATGATGCATCTCTGGGTGGTGGTGTTGAGGGTGGGGCTGTGGACTGTGGTGCTGTAGTACATGCTGCTGCTGCTGCTGCTCTGCCTGATGCTGCTGCAGGTGCTGCGGTTGGTGCTGTGTGTTGTGTTGGTGCTGTGTGTTGCTTTGGTGGTTGGTGTAGGGGTTGTGTGTGTCGTGGGGGTGTTGGTGGGTGTTGTGTGGGTGGTGGTATGGTGGGGGCTGGGTGGGGGAGGAGGGGCGGCTTCCCCCACTCATCGTCTCCATACGTGAGATAACTTCCTCGAACTCGTCCAGCTGGCGGCGTGTGTGGTGGTCGAGGGGTGGTGGCGGGGGTGGCATGAGGGCCCCGCTGTGCCGCCCGTCATGGCCACCCTGCTCCACCTGGGGGAATGCGTGGGCGTCGCAGGACCAGGAGCGGGGCGGGGCGGGGCCCAAGGGTGCCTCAGGACGGGGCACCAAGGTTGGAAAGGAGCGTGGGAGGTCAGGGTCAATCACAGCCTCTAACTGACCAAACAACTGGGCGTGGCACTGTGCCGGACCTACAGGGCGAACCACTCGTGGGCACTCCATCACAGCTCCTCCACCCTCCACCTCCACCACCCTCCACCCACCATCTCTCTACTTCTTATTATCTCTCGCACTTCGTCTTCACTGCCTCTTCTCCCTCTATCACTGTGGGTTCACTGCACTCACTGTTCTCTCTCCACCACTACACTGTTCTCACTCCCCCACACACTACAACGACCACAAGTGACTCCTTACAACCTCACCACCACGACGGCCAAGGAACACGACGCACACCGCACACAGGGCACGGCAGGTAACGCTGCAACACTGACGCCCAGGGTGCCAGGGACACACTAGCAGCGGTGATGACCTTGAGGGTTTGGCACCGGCGCCACCATCCTGGCACTACACCCCTGGCACCCCACCCTTACGCCCGGCACCCCCCCTCCCCAACCTTTTTGCTGGGGGAAGAAACACCCCTATACAGGTTGGCAGCACCTCCCCCACACACACCTCAGGCTGGCACCCCCCCCACTGCATCCGTGCCAAAGTTGGGTACCTTAACCATAGCGTCATAGCCCTAAGTTATGTACACACACACACACACACACACACACACAAGCGCAGACACTGCAACAGGTGAGTCACTGTCTTAGTGTCTTAGGTGCTATGATGACGCACCTTTACGGACCTCACGTTAATCAACACAGGTGAGATAGATAATTAGCCCTCTGGATACAAGTGGACTGATAGATAAATATGCATCCACCCTTGCCTATATACACACACAACATACACACACAAATCAGCTGACATTTTTTAGGAAAGTCTTCGAGGTAGTAGATAATGACGAAAATTACGATGTTATTTACTTAGACTTCAGCAAAGCATTTGACAGAGTACCGCATCAGAGGCTTCTGAGAAAAATTAAGGCTCATGGTATCGAGGGGAAAGTTTTAAATTGGATAAAATCATGGCTCACCAATAGAACGCAGAGGGTCAGCGTAGATGGTGTTAAATCTGAGTGGGGCCGTGTAACCAGTGGGGTTCCCCAGGGGTCAGTACTAGGCCCACTCTTGTTCATAATCTACATAAACGATCTAGATACTGGGACCAGCAGTGACATAAGCAAGTTTGCGGATGACACCAAAATAGGGCGGCAGATTAACTCACGGCAGGATGCAAATGCATTACAGGAGGATCTAAATAAACTGCAGGGGTGGTCTGAAAAATGACAAATGAAATTCAACACCAACAAGTGCAGCGAACTTAATATTGGAAGAACAAATACTTATAATGTATACAGCCTTAACAACATCAACCTAGAGAAGTCAACTTGTGAAAGAGACCTAGGGGTACTTGTAAGCCCGGACCTACGGCCTAGAAAACAGTGCGTTAATGTTCGAAATAAGCAAACAGAGTATTGGGTTTTATATCTAGAAGTGTAAGTAATAAGAGTGCAGAGGTCTTATTGCAACTATATCTTGCGCTAGTCAGGCCGCACCTCGATTATGCGGTTCAGTTCTGGTGCCCTTATTATAGAATGGATATCAATTCACTAGAGTCGGTGCAGCGAAGAATGACGAAAATGATTCCGGGACTTAGAAACCTTCCATATCAGGATAGGTTAAAGAAACTAAACTTGCATTCCCTAGAAAGACGAAGAGTGCAGGGAGATATGATAGAAGTATTTAAGTGGGTGAAAGGAATCAATAGAGGAGATATAGATAAAATTCTTATAATATCCGAGCAGGATAGGACTCGGAGCAACGGATTTAAGTTGGATAAGTTTAGGTTTAGGAGGGAGATAGGAAGGAACTGGTTCACAAATAGGGTGGTAGACGAGTGGAACAAGCTTAGCAACTTTGTAGTAAGTGTTGGAACGCTGGAAAGTTTCAAAAGGAGGCTGGATAGATTCATGGATGATAGAGAGTGGTAGTAACTCTTGACAGGAGCTGCCATGCACAGGCCAACCGGCCTATTGCAGACTCCTTATGTTCTTATGTTATGTTCTTATGACACATTTATGCATACATGTACGTACATATAAACACACATGTATAAACATATACCGGTATACATAAATACATCCATACATAAATTCTCTCTCTCTCTCTCTCTCTCTCTCTCTCTCCCTTACTTCACTACCTGTTATCATTTCTTTTAACCTCCCTCCTCTCCTTCCGTCTCTTATTCTCTCTCACTTTCCTCCTCCCTACCCCCATTCTCTCACTTTCCTCCCCCCATTCTCTCCTTTCCTCCCTCCCTCCCCAGTCTCTCCTCCCCACCCCCATTCTCTCACCTTGTCTCCCCCATTCTCTCACTTTCCTCCCCCCATTCTCTCACCTTGTCTCCCTCCCTCCCATTAAAACATTCCTTCTAGTAAAATAGCCAGACCAATATAGCCAACAGTGTATGGTGTGCACTGCCTCCCTCACACTGGTCATGGTGGTGATGGTGATGATGGTGGTGATGGTGGTGATGGTGGGGGTGGTTGTGACGGTCGATGGTGATTAGAGATGGTTGGTGGTTGATGATAATGATGATTTGTGGTGACGTTGATGCTGGTGGTGTGTGGTAGTAATAGTATGTAGTGATGATGGTGATGAATGGTGGTTGGTGATGTGTGGTGATGGATGGTGCTTGGTGTTAATGGTGATAGTGGTTGGTGATATACATTATACTGTATATGAAGTAAAATACAGAGTCTACCGTCGTTATCCCCCAAGCTGCCGCCAGGTGCCGCTGCCAACTCCACCATATTTGTGGTTCACTCTTACACACACACACACACGCGCGCGCGCAAACAATAAATAAGTAAACTCATATAACTTTTAGCCGCATATATCTAAGATTAACTAATAATAATAATAATGAAGAAGAAGAAGAATGATAATGATTAATAATAATAATAATAATAATAATAATAATAATTAACGCAATACTCTTGGCACAACAGATCGCCACTACAGGCACAAGACAAAGTTCGCCAGGCGCAGTAACCACAGTAACAGTTGTTGTACTTGCATTACGTACTCCAAATCTATACCTGTAGTGATGCACCTTTAATTAATATTGCTCAAGGTGAACTTCGGTGGAACGACAACACCATCAATCACTGTCACCCCACACACACAGACATTCTCTCTCTCTCTCTCTCTCTCCAGGGTGGCGGCGGAGGTCAAAGTGTTCTCTAAGGCATCAGCGTGACACAAACAGATGCAGACTGACAAAGACAGAATCAGACACATGGGGGCCACTCCTTCACCTCGGCCCGCCACACACACACACACACCTGCAGCCCCCCACCCACCTCGCGCAGTCCGCCACTACAACAAAATTCAGCCCATAAGAGCCCGCACCGATAGATATAAGAACAGCACCATCCCATCTATTGTTAAAATAATAAACAACTCCTGATTTATGTACTGTACAGCCCTGTAAATGTATTCAACGCATATTATATCATTATGTCTAAATCAAATGTAAGTCTGTATATTTTCAGCCACCGGCTGCAACTCTATTAATAAACCGTTTATTATTATTATTATTATTTTACACACACACACACACACACACACACACACACACACACCTACCTAATGTGTCTGTGTTATGGTCTAACTCCAGCCATCTTGTGTGTGTGTGTGTGTGTGTGACTATGTAATGTATGTACTGTATATTTATTTATTTATGTATGTATGTACGTATGTATGTAATAATACTAATAATAATTAACGGTTTATTGAAAGAGCATGGCAGCCGGAAGGCTGAAAATATACAGTTACACAATTGGGTAATGGGTCTCTTGATTTACAAATAATATACAAGTAATATAAGTGATACAAATATGAAATATAATAACTAGGTGGGGAGAAGGTCATACAACAGGGTATTTCAACATAGTGACAGTGCAAAAGGTAAGATTTACTGGGAGTGAATACACTGGTTGATTACAAGTTGTTGATAATTTTTACAATGGTTGGGACTGAGCTGTTCTTATAGGGATCAGTACTTGTTCGTATGGGCTGTATACACAAGTCGCCTTTGCATCCCACTTTTCTTTCAGTGTGTTGACCAAGAGGCATGACCCTTCAGTGTGTTGACCAAGAGACATGACCCTTCAGTGTGTTGACCAAGAGACATGACCCTTCAGTGTGTTGACCAAGAGGCATGACCCTTCAGTGTGTTGACCAAGAGACATGACCCTTCAGTGTGTTGACCAAGAGACATGACCCTTCAGTGTGTTGACCAAGAGACATGACCTTTCAGTGTGTTGACCAGGAGACATGATCCTTCAGTGTGTTGACCAGGAGACA